CGAGGAACTAAACAACTACACCAGCACTGCAGTTCCAGGAAAATATGTTGTATATAGAGTTCCTTTTATTTTCACACCTAAGAAATACATATTTGTTATATATAGGGATAAGTAAAGATAATATTTTAAATCTAAGAAGTGACCGTTCCCCTTTAACCCTGGTATGTACATTAATCTCATCCATTCTTTTAAGAATTTTACAGGTCTCAAACCTGGGTTTGAAATACTGCGGATGGAGCTCTTTTCACCGAGTTATTTTACCACAATCATATGTTTCAAGTTTAGAAGGAACTCATATTTTGTGTGCTCGAGTAGATAACAGCAATAAAGCTTGCAGTAATGTTTCTTGAGGTACGTGATGTTTTTCCTGAAGTAAATTATGTATTTCTTGAGGTAGGTGATGTATTACTTGAGGTAGGTGATGTATTACTTGAGGTAGGTGATGTATTTCTTGAGGCAGGTGATGTATTTCTTGAGGTAGGTGATGTATTACTTGAGGTAGGTGATGTATTTCTTGAGGTAGGTGATGTATTAATTGAGGTAGGTGATGTTACTTGAGGTAGGTGATGTATTACTTGAGGTAGGTGATGTATTAATTGAGGTAGGTGATGTATTACTTGAGGTAGGTGATGTATTACTTGAGGTAGGTGATGTATTTCTTGAGGCAGGTGATGTATTTCTTGAGGTAGGTGATGTATTACTTGAGGTAGGTGATGTATTTCTTGAGGTAGGTGATGTATTAATTGAGGTAGGTGATGTTACTTGAGGTAGGTGATGTATTACTTGAGGTAGGTGATGTATTTCTTGAGGTAGGTGATGTATTATTTGAGGTAGGTGATGTATTACTTGAGGTAGGTGATGTATTACTTGAGGTAGGTGATGTATTTCTTGAGGCAGGTGATGTATTTCTTGAGGTAGGTGATGTATTACTTGAGGTAGGTGATGTATTTCTTGAGGTAGGTGATGTATTAATTGAGGTAGGTGATGTATTAATTGAGGTAGGTGATGTTACTTGAGGTAGGTGATGTATTACTTGAGGTAGGTGATGTATTACTTGAGGTAGGTGATGTATTAATTGAGGTAGGTGATGTATTTCTTGAGGTAGGTGATATATTACTTGTGGTAGGTGATGTATTTCTTGAGGCAGGTGATGTATTTCTTGAGGTAGGTGATGTATTAATTGAGGTAGGTGATGTATTAATTGAGGTAGGTGATGTATTACTTGAGGTAGGTGATGTATTACTTGCGGTAGGTGATGTTTTTCTTGAGGTAGGTGATGTATTACTTGAGGTAGGTGATGTTTTACTTGAAGTAGGTGATGTATTACTTGAGGTAGGTGATGTATTACTTGAGGTAGGTGATGTATTACTTGAGGTAGGTGATGGTTTTCTTGAGGTAGGTGATATATTAATTGAGGTAGGTGATGTATTACTTGAGGTAGGTGATGGTTTTTCTTGAGGTAGGTGATGTATTACTTGCGGTAGGTGATGTTTTTCTTGAGGTAGGTGATATATTAATTGAGGTAGGTGATGTATTACTTGAGATAGGTGATGGTTTTTCTTGAGGTGGGTGATGTATTACTTGAAGTAGGTGATGTTTTACTTGAAGTAGGTGATGTATTACTTGAGGTAGGTGATGTTTTTCTTGAGGTAGGAGATGTATTACTTGAGGTAGGTGATGTTTTTCTTGAGGTGGGTGATGTATTACTTGAGGTAGGTGATGTTTTTCTTGAGGTAGGTGATGTATTACTTGAGGTAGGTGATGTTTTACTTGAGGTAGGTGATGTTTTACTTGAGGTAGGTGATGTATTACTTGAGGTAGGTGATGTATTACTTGCGGTAGGTGATGTATTACTTGAGGTAGGTGATGTTTTTCTTGAGGTAGGTGATGTATTACTTGAGGTAGGTGATGTTTTACTTGAGGTAGGTGATGTATTACTTGAGGTAGGTCATGTATTACTTGAGGTAGGTGATGTTTTTCTTGAGGTAGGTGATGTATTACTTGAGGTAGGTGATGTATTACTTGAGGTAGGTGATGTATTAATTGAGGTAGGTGATGTTTTTCTTGAGGTAGGTGATGTATTACTTGAGATAGGTGATGGTTTTTCTTGAGGTGGGTGATGTATTACTTGAGGTAGGTGATGGTTTTTCTTGAGGTAGGTGATGTTTTACTTGAAGTAGGTGATGTATTACTTGCGGTAGGTGATGTATTACTTGAGGTAGGTGATGTATTACTTGAGGTAGGTGATGTATTACTTGAGGTAGGTGATATATTACTTGAGGTAGGTGATGTTTTTCTTGAGGTAGGTGATGTATTACTTGCGGTAGGTGATGGTTTTTCTTGAGGTAGGTGATGTATTACTTGAGGTAGGTAATGTTTTTCTTGAGGTAGGTGATGTATTTCCAGAGGTAGGTGATTTATTTCTTGAGGTAGATTATGTATTTCCAGAGGTAAGTGTGTTTTCAGAGGTAGCGCTTTGAGGTATTACTTGGATGTAGGTGATGTATTTCTTGAGGTATGTGCGTTTTCTAGTGATCGACCAATATTGATTTTTTTTAGAGCCGATACCGATAATCTGTGAACTTTCAGGCAGATAGCTTACTGATATATAGGGTAAATGAACAAAATATACATGCCACATGTAGTGGATGCAGTGTGTTTAGACAGGGAGCTGTGTGTTTTTGTGTAGTGTGTGTGTGTAGTTAATGCAGTGTGTATTTGTGTAGTGTGTGTGTAGTTAATGCAGTGTGTATTTGTGTAGTGTGTGTGTAGTGAATGCAGTGTGTATTTGTGTAGTGTGTATATAATGAATGCAGAGTGTGTTTGCGTAGTGTGTACAGTGAATGAAGTGAGTGTTTGTGTGTGTGTATAGTGAATGCAGAGTGTGTGTGTTTGTGTAGTGTGCTTATAGTGAATGCAGTGTGTGGGTAGTGTGCGTAAAGTGAATGCAGTGTGTGGGTAGTGTGCGTAAAGTGAATGCAGTGTGTTTGTATAGTCTGTGTATATAATGAATGCAGAGTGTGTGTGTTTGTGTAGTGTGTATATGATTATTTTTTTTTGGTCCCCCCTCTTTTTTTTGGGTCCCCCCTCTTTTTTTTGGGTCCCCCCTGTTACCTGGCCAGGGAGGAGGGATATGTCAATCCCTGGTGGTCCGGTGGCATGGACTGTGCAGAGGGGGCCAAGCAAGCGCTTACTTACCTTCCCAGCAGCTCTCTTCAGTTCCCCTGTCTAACTCTCGCGGTCTGCGTGCCGCGCGGAGCGTTGCCGTGGTAACCCGTGGCAACGCTCTGATGGCTGCGGGACTCGCAAGATTTACACAGGGGAGCTGAAGGGAGCTGCTGGGAAGGTAAGTAAGTGCTTGCTTGGCACCCCAGGACCGACCGCTGCGGTCCTGGTATGTCTTACCCCCAAAATCGGTATCTTTATTGGCCGATACCGATATTGCCGAAAATACAGAATATCGGCCGATAATATCGGCCAAACCAATAATTGGTTGGTCCCTAGCATTTTCAGAGGTAGCGAAATGTGGAAACAGCAGAATACAGTGTATTTTGTCTTGTGTAAGGTGAGAATAAAACAAATTAGAATTGCACTTCCAGTTTGTAGAGCAGAGGTAGCTCTTTCTGAATTCGCTTGAGCCGTACAATCACCCTGCCTAGGGATATCCTGTGTCTTCTTTAATGTGATTTTGTGCAGAGGAACACCACCTTGGTATGGTAGCTCAGAATGGTGTCCACCCCACCTTGGGGTCTCGCAGGCTTGTTAGTGGGTTGGTAGTTTATATACAAAAAAGAGAGATAAGTATATAGTGCTCACTGATGTTACTATAAATTCGTAAAAATTAGGAGAGGTCTTCACAAATAGACCGCTAAAATAAGATTTAGCTCAATTTACATCACTCGGGTGGTATTTTCCAAACCAAAAGAATGTGGGCCTAGACTTTGCAAATGGTCAAAGTGAAGTCCACAGAAGTTAGTTAATAACTGCTTTTTTGTGAACTAATACATAAAGTTAGAAAATAATAAAAGCAGTGCAAACAAAAAGGTTTTTTTAACTTGTTCCCCCCATTAAAAGGGAGCACATTCACATATGTAATAAATAAGACATTGACTTTCTAATTCAGTTATCCTACTTTTATTAAAAGATCCACAATCCAGCTGTTAAAACTTACCTTTTGATAGGATGATTAAAATCCACTAATACAAATTGGTGTAGCATTTACTTTGACTTTGCCACGCAGAGAGGGGAGACTTGTTTGCACGTAGTATTTCTTTAAGGAGTTTGTCCGCTTACCTATGGAAACTGAGTGTTATAGTTGCACTTGGATTGTTTCTTAAAGACGTATACCTGTGGGCTTATAGATAACAGATAAGTCAATATTTGCACTTTTGTTAAGTTTTGCGCTACTTCATTTTAGATTTGGTATAGTTGTATTTGCAGTGTGATTTTGGAGTGTGATAGCAGCTAATAATATAATATATAACATTTCACTATATATATCATTTGAAATATTATATAGCATTGACACACAATTACACATGTTTTGCTCAAAATATAAAGATCAGTAAATAAACCTGTCCCCAATCGTACCTCCAAGTGCGCCAGGTGTACAGACACAATGAAACTACGCGAGACCTGTCCCTCAGATATAGAAAGAATTTAGAAGGTAAGATGAGAGTATCGTAAGCCGTTTCTCTCGGAACCTTATTTACTGAAAATAGATAAATACAACTGGCAAAACGTACATCAGGGCTCTCTACCAGTTGTTTTTTTATTGTTGGATTCTAATCATTATATTAAAGGTTACGTTTTAACTGCTTGTTTGTGGATCTTGATTTTGTCTGTTTATATAGCTAGGGGTTATCCCCCACTGTCTCTAAAACAGTCTTTCATTGTTTAGTTACATTTTCTGTTTGATTCATTTGATTATAAGATTACGTTGACTGTAAATATGTGACACTGGAGTCTGATCAAGTTATTCAGTTAATGAGTTTCCCCAACTTTCATACTGAGACATTGTAAAAATGGTTTATTTGAAAAGGTTTGGCTTGGAAACAGCACAGCTGTGGTAGAAGGAAGCAGCATGGTTTTGGTGGAAGGATTTGAAAGCAGCAAACTGGTGGTGGAAGGATTTGAAGGCAGTTCTGTAATGGGGGGAAGACGTAGCATTATGTTTGTGGAAGGAGGTAGAGGTAACAGTCATGGTGTGTGGAAGAAGAAGCTACACGTAGATGGTGGAAGGAGAGGAAGGTAGTATGGTGGTGATGGTGAAAGTGGGTAGAAGGAGGGAAAAAACATCTGATGTTGGAAGGAGATCTAGGCAGCATGGTCATGGTGGGAGGAGGTGGAGGCAACATGGTGATAGCGGAAGGAAATGGAAGCTACACTTTGATGGTGGTTGAGGCAGCATGGTGATGGTGGAAGGAGGTGGCAAAGTAGCAATGGAAGAAGATGAAAGCAGTACCGTGTTGGTGAAAGGAAACACAATCAGCATGGTGGAGACACAGGGCTGTTTAAGAAGATGGAATCAGCACAGTGATGGTTGAAGGAGACAGAATCAGCACGGTGGAGATGGAAGGAGGTGTCATGCTTTTGGTAGGAAGAGGTGGAAGCAGCACCTTGGTTTTGGAAAGCGACTAAGTTAGTAGTAGTTGAAGGAAGAATAGAACTGTGGTTCTGGAAGCAGTGCATTGATGGTAGAAGATGGTGGTAGGTAGGTGGAGGTGGAAGCAGTGCATTGATAGTTGAAGGTGGTGGTAGGTAGGTGGAAGCAGTGCATTGATGGTTAAAGATGGTGGTAGGTAGGTGGAAGCAGTGCATTGATGGTTGAAGATGGTAGGTAGGTGGAGGTGGAAGCAGTGCATTGTTGAAGTTGGTGGTAGGTAGTTGGAGATGGAAGCAGTGCATTGATGGTTGAAGGTGGTGGTAGGTAGATGGAGGTGGAAGTAGTGCATTGATGGTTGAAGATGGTGGTAGGTAGGTGGAGTGCATTGATGGTTGAAGGTGGTGGTAGGTAGGTGGAGTGCATTGATGGTTGAAGGTGGTGGTAGGTAGGTGGAGTGCATTGATGGTTGAAGGTGGTGTTAGGTAGGTGGAGGTGGAAGCAGTGCATTGATGGTTGAAGGTGGTGGTAGGTAGGTGGAGGTGGAAGCAGTGCATTGATGGTTGAAGATGGTGGTAGGTAGGTGGAGTGCATTGATGGTTGAAGGTGGTGGTAGGTAGGTGGAGATGGAAGCAGTGCATTGTTGAAGTTGGTGGTAGGTTGGTGGAGGTGGAAGCAGTGCATTGATGGTTGAAGGTGGTGGTAGGTAGATGGAGGTGGAAGTAGTGCATTGATGGTTGAAGGTGGTGGTAGGTAGGTGGAGTGCATTGATGGTTGAAGGTGGTGTTAGGTAGGTGGAGGTGGAAGCAGTGCATTGATGGTTGAAGGTGGTGGTAGGTAGGTGGAGGTGGAAGCAGTGCATTTATGGTTGAAGATGGTGGTAGGTTGGTGGAGGTGGAAGCAGTGCATTGATGGTTGAAGGTGGTGGTAGGTAGATGGAGGTGGAAGTAGTGCATTGATGGTTGAAGGTGGTGGTAGGTAGGTGGAGTGCATTGATGGTTGAAGGTGGTGTTAGGTAGGTGGAGGTGGAAGCAGTGCATTGATGGTTGAAGGTGGTGGTAGGTAGGTGGAGGTGGAAGCAGTGCATTTATGGTTGAAGATGGTGGTAGGTAGGTGGAGGTGGAAGCAGTGCATTGATGGTTGAAGATGGTGGTAGGTAGGTGGGCGGCATAGAACGTCCCCGCTGTCCTCTTCACTTACCCGGTCACTGGCGATCGCGGTATGGGAGGACTCACCTGGCATCCCAGGGAGTCCCCCTGCTCCCATTGTAAGGACCTCACGATCACATGGACGGCATAGCCAACAGGGGGAGTGCCTAGAATGACAGGTACTCCCCCTGCTGCCTGTCAAAAAAAAGTTTAAAACAAAAATATATATACTTAGATCACTATATATACACACACACACACACATATATATAAATAAAAATAATTTTACAAAATTAATTATTTTACATAATTAGGTCATTTTAATAATTACAATTTGTGGGACCTGCCTGACAACCCAGGAGAAAATTATAGGGAATTTAATTTGCTAGCACTATATTTAACCCTATAACTTGGTGGAACATAGCAACAATGATTGAAGAAAGTGGAAACTGCTCGTTGACTGTGTATAAGGGTGGAAGAAGCAGCATGATGGTTGATTGAGTCACATATCTCTAACATGGTATCCGCGCCACATTGAATTCCTTCCAGTCGATGGAGGTGGATACAAAGTATTAGGATAATGCTGCTGATTGTGTGTCTGTGGCATTTTCCTTTTTCGGGATTCACTGTACTTGGCGCTACCTTGAGTGATAGCCAGTTCATAGATTACATAAGTTATACTCAATTCTTATAGTAAAGGATGTTACTTAATTTTGGAGAGCCCAAATTCCTACAGTACTATAGTTCCTAAATAATTAGAATTGGTATGTTCCACGTTTAACAAATCTGCATATATTGCTAACACACTTACCTGTGTTATCCCCCAACACATAAATTAAAATCTGAACCAAAGTATAAATTAAAGTGGAGCAGTGAAAAATGATTTTTTTTAGATCAAAGTGGAAACATGGCAAAAACAGTGTTTAGGTGGAAAGACTTAACGGGACACTATAGTCACCAGAACAACTACAGCTTAATGTACGATATACAGCTTATTGTACGGTATACAGCTTAATGTACGATATACAGCTTATTGTACGGTATACAGCTTAATGTATAATATACAGCTTAATGTACGGTATACAACTTAACGTACGATATACAGCTTATTGTACGGTATACAGCTTAATGTACGGTATACAGCTTATTGTACGGTATACAGCTTAATGTACAATATACAGCTTATTGTACGGTATACAGCTTAATGTACGATATACAGCTTATTGTACGGTATACAGCTTAATGTATTATATACAGCTTAATGTACAATATACAGCTTATTGTACGGTATACAGCTTAATGTACGATATACAGCTTATTGTACGGTATACAGCTTAATGTATAATATACAGCTTATTGTACGGTATACAGCTTAATGTACGGTATACAGCTTAATGCACGATATACAGCTTATTGTACGGTATACAGCTTAATGTACAATATGCAGCTTATTGTACGGTATACAGCTTAATGTACGGTATACAGCTTATTGTACTGTATACAGCTTAATGTACGATATACAGCTTATTGTACGGTATACAGCTTAATGTACGATATACAGCTTAATGTACGGTATATAGCTTAATGTACGATATACAGCTTAATGTACAGTATACAGCTTACTGTACGGTATACAGCGTAATGTATAATATACAACTTAATGTACGGTATACAGCTTAATGTACGATATATAGCTTATTGTATAATATACAGCTTAATGTACGATATATAGCTTATTGTATAATATACAGCTTACTGTACGGTATACAGCTTATTGTACGGTATACAGCTTAATGTACGATATACAGCTTAATATACAGTATACAGCTTAATGTACGGTATACAGCTTAATGTACGGTATACAGCGTAATGTATAATATACAACTTAATGTACAGTATACAGCTTAATGTACGATATATAGCTTAATGTACGATATACAGCTTAATGTACAGTATACAGCTTAATGTACGATATACAGCTTAATGTATGGTATACAGCTTAATATACAGTATACAGCTTAATGTACGATATATAGCTTATTGTATAATATACAGCTTACTGTACGGTATACAGCTTAATATACAGTATACAGCTTAATGTACGGTATACAGCTTAATATACAGTATACAGCTTAATGTATAATATACAGCTTAAAGGACCACTATAGTGCCAGGAAAACATACTTGTTTTCCTGGCACTATAGTGCCCATTAGGATGCCCCCACCCTCAGGGACCCCCTCCCGCCGGGCTCTGGGGAGAGGAAAGGGGTTAAAACTTACCTTTCTCCAGTGCCGCGCGCGCATTCAGTCAGTCTCATAGGAAAGCATTTACAATGCTTTCCTATGGACGCTTGTGTGTTCTCACTGTGATTTTCACAGTGAGAATCACGCAAGCGCCTCTAGCGTCTGTCAATGAGACAGCCACTAGAGGATTTGAGGGCTGGATTAACCCATTTATAAACATAGCAGTTTCTCTGAAACTGCTATGTTTATAAAAAAAATGGGTTAACCCTAGCTGGACCAGGCACCCAGACCACTTCATTAAGCTGAAGTGGTCTGGGTGCCAGGAGTGGTCCTTTAATGTACGATATACAGCTTAATGTATAATATACAGCTTAATGTACGGTATACAGCTTAATGTACGGTATACAGCTTAATTTACAGTATACAGCTTAATGAAGTTGTTCTGGTGAGTATAATAGCTCCCTTCAGGCATTTTCATGTAAACACTGCCTTTTCAGAGAAAAGGCACACTCTGACACACATCACAGTGTTTACATTGCCCCTAGGGACACCTCCAACTGGCCACTCCTTAGATGGCCACTGGAGGTGCTTCCTGGCTCAGTGCTGCACAGTAGGCAGTATTGCCGTTCAGCATCCCCACACTCTGCATGGAGATGCTGAATTTTCCTCATATCGATGCATTAACTCAATGCATCTTTATGAGGAGGTCCTGATTGGCCAAAATGGCATTTAGCCCCAACCCAGTGCAGATTTTAGCCATTTCAATGCTTTCCCCATCGGGCCAGTGCTGGCAAACTTGTGGAGAGTTGAAAATAAGGTGAGTTTTAACCCATTCTGAGGAGGCTAAGGGGGGGTGAGCCACCTAAATGGTGGGTTTTCACTATAGGGTCAGGAATACATGTGTGTGTTCCTGACCCTATAGTGATCCCTTAACCCCTTAAGGATGGTGGGCGTTCTATGACGTCCTTGGGGACCCAGTCCTAAACGCCGGTGGGCTGCATAGAACGTCCCCGCCGTCCTCTTCACTAACCCAGTCACCGGCGATCAATGTATGGGGGTACTCACTTGGAATCCCAGGGAGTCCCCCTGCTCCCATTCCAGGCCTCTGAGCCATGTGATCGCAAGATCCTTGCAAGGACCTCACGTTCACATGGACGGCATAGCCAACAGGGGGAGTGCCTGGAATGACAGGTACTCCCCCTGCTGCCTGTCAAAAAAACAAAACAAAAAAAAAGTTTAAAACAATATTATATATACTTAGATCTTATATTTATTATAAATATATACACACACACACACACACACAGTATAAGTGTATTTTAATATTACTATATATAAATTTTTTTATATGTAAATACGTTAAAAAATAAATAATAAAAAAAATTGTAATTTCGTTCTAACTGTATTTTGATATTAATTAATATATATATCAAAATACAAGTAGAACGAAATATATATACACATATATATAAATAAAAATAATTTAAATTTTTTTATTATTTTACATAATTAGGTCATTTTAATAATTACAATTTGCGGGACATGCCTGACAACCCAGGAGAAGTAAAGGGAATTTAATTTGCTAGCACTATATTTAACCCTATAATTTTCCAAGACACCATAAAACCTGTACATGGGGGGTACTGTTCTACTCGGGAGACTTTGCTGGACACAAATATTAGTGTTTCAAAACAGTAAACTGTATTACAACGATGATATGCATTTTTCACACACAAACGGCACTTACACTGACGATATTATTGCTGTGATACGTTTTACTGTTTTGAAACACTCTCCCGAGTAAAACAGTACCCCCCATGTACAGGTTTAATGGTGTTTTCAAAAGTTACAGAGTTAAATATAACGCTCGCGTTTCAGTTTTTCACATTGAAACACTGGCCAAAATTGGCGTTTAACTTAGTTTTTTGCATTTTTCACACACAAACAAATTTACACTAACTTTGGCCAGTCCTTGTGACTAAGTGACTACTAAAAAAGACTGGACATACTCCACTTGCAATACCTTGTGTTGTCTACTTTTGCAAATGGTATGCCATCATGGGGGTAATTCTCATTTTTGGGCTACCACACGGTCTCAAAGGCAACGTAACCAACCTGGCGAATTTCAATGTGAAAAAACTGAAAAATGTAACGTGCTATATTTGACCCTGTAACTTCCCAAAACGCCATAAAACCTGTACATAGGATACAGGTAAGTCACTGAAGGGGTTTTAACCCCTTCAGCAACTTGGGATGGGGGGTGGGAGGGAGAGGGGACCTGCAGTGCCAGGAAAACGGTTTGTTTTCCTGGCACTGGAGAGTCCCTTTAACCCCTTAAGGACCAAACTTCTGGAATAAAAGGGAATCATGACATGTCACACATGTCATGTGTCCTTAAGGGGTTAAAGACAGCAAGAGCAGCTTTGAATATAGATATAGAAATATTGTAATTATAATTAATGACCAGCAGATGTCGCCAAAAACGGAACTCCCATTGCACGTATGGGGAAAGAAAGCAGAAATACAAATAATGGTGTAGACCGATGCTTCCCAAACTTTTTAGGTTCAAGGCGCCCGTAATATTTGAATATTTTTTTCAAGGCACCCAAAGTCAAAATTTCTAGGTTATATATCTGTACAGCGCTGCG